GATAGATTTCAAAGTTTTCGGCGAGTGTGCGTGCCAGCTTGATATGCAAAGCCATTCGTAAGCTCTCTTCTCTCAATACAAGCGAAAATTTACATAGAGAAGAGTCGAGTGCGGAAATCAAGGAAAGAATTGCCATTTTTATTGAAATATTGGCATTTTCGGGTAAACTGGATGCCAGCTCACAACTCAGTGGAAGAATTACGGGTATCTGCAACAATATAGCGACACCCTGCAATCGTTCCACCTAGTCGAGGAGTGGATGGGGGAGGGGCATAGATAATTGATAATAAACATGAAATCAGATTGTAATTAGCATATGTGCGTTCCAGGATGGACAAAAAAGCGAAAAACAAAGTAATATCGTAGACTGTACGGTGTAGAAAGTCGCAAACTCTTACCACTCAAATATCAGCTTTTACACGTGAGGTACTAAAAAAATTTGCATATATTTGATGAAGCTGGATATCACACAGTAAGAAAAATTTGTATAAAGGGTAATATTGAGAAAATGATAAACCTGGGAGTCTGCATGTTTATATAGTAAGAGTTGGATAACAAAATGCTGAGTCATTGTATAAAATGGGATTAGATATGTAAAATGTAGGCGTCTAGAGACGGCTAGAGACGCGTTGATTCATAAAAATGAGTCATTTCTTGAGAAATTCTTCAAGTTTTCTTATGAAATATCGAAAATTTGCATTTAAAAGCAGAATTTGCATTTAATTAGCATTTAAAAGCAAAATTTGGATTTAATTTGCATTTAATAACAGAATTTGCATTTAATTTGCATTTAAAAGCAGAATTTGCATTTAATTTGCATTTAAAAGCAGAATTTGCATTTAATTTGAGTTTAAAAGCATAATTTGCATTTAATTTGCATTTAAAAGCAGAATTTGCATTTAATTTGCATTTAAAAGCAGAATGTGCACTTAATTTGCATTTAATACCAGAATTTATCGGAATTGAAAGATTTCATTTTCAAAGACCCTACTGCGTTCCAGGATCGCCGAATCGCTGCCATTTAAATTCGGGCGGTGATTCACCGGGGCTGTAAGGAGGGGGACGACGATCCGCCCCCAGGCCAGCTCTTGGAGCCACCGCTCGCCCAGCCGATTCAACTGCCGACTCACCCCTTTTCCCCTCCCCTTGCCCTTGCATCCCCGTTCCCTCCAATGACTGCCTGGGGTGAAGTGAGCGCCCATTTCGGTGAAATTCAAAAGTTGGCAAGATGCCAAACGCTTCTGTCTACGATTTCTCGCTAACTTTTCGAAAGTGATCTGGATCAAAACTGATCTGGATCGAAATCTAGAGATCCTGGATGACACAGGAGATTTTGAAAAGTGATTTTAGTGATAAAGATTTGTTTTGAGACTACAGGGTATTCAACTCAGGGTACTGTCTTGGACAAATACAAATATTGAGAACTGTACATAGACGAGTTTTAAATGCAAATTCGGCTTGCGTGAGCTCCAGATCGTTTACAAATTTGGGAATTATTACGTTTACATCTCGAAAACTCAGCGGAAATCATACGGGTATGGCCCAGGGGAAATCGCACACCCGACGTATCTCCACCGAGTCTTCGGACGTTGTTGGGAGAGTGGCACATGAGCTCCAGAATAGACAAAAAGTCGCTTTGATCACGAAAAACAAGCTCTTGGCAGAGTGCCAACAGCTCGTCTCGAGGACAAAGTGCAAACAGGTGAATATATGATGAAATACGATAAGTTTACAAACTAGATAAGCATTCTGGATGTCACCCTATTGAAATATAGTATAATATATAGGATTTGTGAGAAATGTGGGGTTTCGTAATAGCTGGCTGGAGGACTGAGGGAAATGGTCGGGAAATCCGAGTGAAATCCGGGGATCGGCGAATGAATTTGTGCAAATTGGATGTCATGAAAGGAAATAGAAATGGAATAGATGGGGATCAGGGAAGAAGTGACCACTGGTCACTCACCCACAGCTCGGAGTTGCGAAAGAAGAGACTTGTGAGGCGGGGAGTGGAGGGGAAATGGCGTCTCTTTCACCATATCGATTGATGTAGGCGATGCGGATGCGTGGCGGTTGGAGGGAGAAGAGAGCCCAACCCCCTCGTTATGGGCACCGAGCCAAAGGGTACGATAGAGAGTCCATCAAAGTTTGAGAGGTGTTTGAAAAGGCTACAGGATGAACAGATCTTGCTTAAACTTTGCAAAAATGCAAACTGGAATGCAACTTAGAGTTTATGAAGGTTTAATTCTTTAAAGGATTGAAGAATGGAGGATTGAAGGATGGAGGAGGGAGGATGGAAAGTTTAAGGCAGTATTTTGAGCTATAGAATGAACAGATCTTGCTTAAACTTTGCAAAAACGCAAACTGGAGTACAACTTAGAGTTTATGAAGGTTTAACGCTTTAAAGGATTCAATTTAGCTAACCAGTATGGCAATGGAAAGTCTCTGGCAGTATTTTGAGCTACAGAATGAACAGATCTTGCTTACACTTTAACAATCTGTAAATTGGAATGCATCTTGTAGAGTTTAAGGGAGAATATGTTGAATGGTAATGTTTAAGCCAAAGGCTATGGTAATTGATTCATGAAACGAGCTAAAATCAACACTAGAGAAATGCGAATTTGCTGAAAAAATGAAATTTTCCAAGCTGGAGCGCACACTCAATGAAACTGGACTCAAATGTTGAAAAGATTTCACCAAAAGATTTTAGACGTTTTAACAATCCACGTCGTAACGATAAAGTATTTTTCATTTTAGCTGCTGTGTCGAAGAAGTTGGTCCAAGAGATTTGCGCAAAGCATCAACCAAATAATATGAATATCTTTGTAAAGACATTCACGGGCAGGACCGAGTGTCTCATGCTAAATGGTGATTACACTGTCGAAACGTTGTTGGCTCGTTTGGGCAGGTTCACCCATTTTCACCCCGTTCACCCATTGGCGGCCTGCTTCAGCTGTTTGTCTAACTCGAAGAGTGTTTTTTAAGCTAATCGCTATGCAATCGTTCCAATTTTGTTAAACTAATCGGAACATCTGTATTTATTCAAAGGGGACTTCAAGTTTTCAAATGATGTATAACATTTGGTACATTACGAGTGAGATTTGTATAGTATCTGTATATGCCTCCGTAATTCTGTGCCACCCTGTACAATAGTACAATACAAAATATGGGAATAGGGGCGATAAAAGATGAGTCCGAAGTTTGGACCCCGGACTCTCGAGTAGGCGAATGCCACCAAAGAACACGCCTTAAACTAAGCCTTTAGTTGGGAGTTTTAGCCTGAAAAATCTTTGGGTACTAGTCTAGTTGGAGAGGGGCACAATTGTTTCTTCAAAACCACTATCTCTGGGGTAGTTTTATGCGTTGACTCCGAAAAACATAACGAGAGCTTGAGAAAAGGCGTTTGAAGCGAAGTTTCGAGGATCCAAAGTGCGTGCTTCTATAGAACTATATGGAGCCCAAGCTTCACCATACGGAACCATATGGAGCCTAAGCCATCGACTATTGAAACACTTTTCAAGGTCAAAACTAGAGGCAAAACCATTTTTAGCCACTAAATATTCATTTTCTAACTTAAATTGATTGGTAGAAGCGAAAGAAATTGATAAACATTTTTTGAGATTTTGACACGTGTGGGGGGCCACATGGTCGAAATTTGAAAAATATTTTTTTTGTTTTAATTTAATCAGAAACGTAATCAATAGCTTAAATTATGCCAAAAGAAGTGTTTTTGACTTCAAAAAAATGTTTTGAGAGACCATTTTTAGACCGCTGAATGGCTGGAAAATTCTAACACTTTCACCGTGAATCACCAGGTAAGTTTTTAATACAGGGTGCGGCAAAAGTTCTGACACTTTTTCTAAGAGAAATAAAATTTGCAAACTTTGGCAATATTGATCAAAAAACGATAACAAATTGTTTATTGAAGATAAAACTAACAAAAAATCATAACAAATGTTCAAAATTTCCACCCTTGGCCTCGATGCACTTCTTCAATCGCTTGCGGAAGTTGCCGACGATGGTCGCGCATTGTTGAACAGTGATTTCAGCCCAGGCCCTCTTCAAAGCAGCTTTCAAAGAATCCACGGAGTGAAATCTCTTGTCAGAGATCTTGTCTTCCAAGATCGACCAAACGGAGAAGTCCAGAGGATTCAAATCGGGGCTATTCGACGGCCAAATGTCCTTACCCCAGTAGCCCGGAAACAGCTGATTGCAGAGAGCGAGAGTCGAGCCGGCTCCATGGGCCGCTCTTGATATGCTCTTGAACTCTGCTAGTCCATGTCTGTTTTGTGCGACAAGCGGATCGAGGGGTACAGTAGAACCGTTGAGGGTAGGCCAATCGACGTCGGCCGATAAGCCAACATAGATATGCTCCACCAACACACAAAACGCTTTACCTTTAGGCTTCTAGCAGACGGCGCAAATGCGCCTCTATAACAAAAAAGGATAGAGCTTGCGTTTTTGATCATAAATACGAATTAAAAATGTGATCTCCAGGATCAGCGCCACCCTAGAAAAAAGAAAAAAAAAGAAAAAAAATCGTGCCCCCCATTTTATTAGGGTTGGCCATAAGTTCATGCAGTTCTTAAATTTGCAATTTCTTAAAAACCCGCCAACAGTTTCATCTGAAATTTCTACTGAATAATCTATAATTATATGCTAACTAGTAGCCAAAATTTTATGACTATTGCTTGGTTCAATCGAGAGAGTGAGATATCACTTTATATGACAAAAACTTCTTTATTTACGAAAAATAAAAGAAAATGCAAAAAAAAATCTTGGTACCTTTTCAAACGTTATTTATTTCTAACGAAATTCAGTATCGAGTTGGGCCTCCTTTAGCTTTTATAATCTCCTGAAGTCGGTTTGGCATACTTGCGACCAATCTTTCCGTGGTTCATTGTGAAATTGAGCTCCAAATAGAGTGAACCTTGTACTAAAGCTCATTTTTTGACGCAAAGCAGAATCCTCGCAATTTTCGTTTGACATGTACCCATAATTTAATCTTTACTTTTCTCCATCGTTGTCGAAATCTTCTCCGGAAGGCCAATCGTCGACAAAATCGTCACTACCCATTGCCCGAATCGGTTTAGTTCGGATTTCTACAAAATCAAATGAAATAAAATCAAATGTGTTTATTCGAAAATCCACCTTAAATTCGGCAAAACTCATCCCGACTGTGTCTGTCTTAGAATCGAATTTGGGTAATCGATGTCTCGGGCAAGGTACAAGATGGAAAAGTTGAGGAGTCGAATAGATAAAATTGAATGCCTTAAATGATATTATCGTTGTAATAAAAGCTTTTAACTAACCTGTGGAATAAAGAAAAGCATCGCCGTTTTTGAGAAATGTCCGAGAATTGCCACTACAGCCAACGTCATGCCCGCCCAATAACAGTACGTGTCACCAACGAAAACGCGAGCCGGATACTAAAAGTCAATGAATGAAGGTAAACCTGATAAATTACCTACCTTATTGAAGTTATAGAGGATCCACGATGTTGTGATGAATGGTAACAAAAAGTAGATTGACAACCAATTGTACCAACATTCGATCGGATCTTGAAGGCGATATAGCTAAATAAGTGATTGTAAATTATTGAAACACACCAACAAACCTGTATGACATTGTATAAAGTGATCGATGACGCAATGACGAGACTTTGACCGACCTAAATGAAAATGAGCATGAAATTTCACGTAAACATCAACCTCCAATTCGTTGATTCCTGGGTAAATAATGATCGAATTTGTGCAGAAGACGATCACCATTCCCATGAAAACGTAGTAGAACAAATTGATATCAAGAGAATTTGTTACCTAAACAAAATATTGCTGATCATAAAAAGTTAAAACTTTACCTCAAATCCCAGCAACGAAATAAAGTAACGAGCAATCTTCGGCACGACAATCGTCGTCGAGCTGTCTAAAAATGAAACCAAAATGTTACTTAAAATAAAGCACATAGTAAACCATCAAAACCAACAATGATGAGAGCGTTGGGAAAAGCAACTTTTGACGCCATCTAAAAGAAATCAATTAATCATAAAATCCCACTGAAATTAGCCGTTAACATTTACAAGCTCGTCGTTAATCGATTTACCTATCTGACAACCTAATTAGCATTTAACACCGCAAATATAAAATGGTTCTCCATAAAAATCATTTTATTAGCCATTTTTGCCGAGTTTGCTTGCTAACACACGATTCCTACAAAGTTGGTTCTTTCTCGTTCTTATTTGAAACCTATTTTTGTTTGGTTATAATGTTAGTCTTTCTTGTACCATCTATCACATCATTGCACATCGAAGCGTCAGAAGTTTTCTTTAGATGCTAAGCACCTAATCTCTATAGTAATTCTTTTTTCAGCAGAGTCGCAAAATGTGGACGATCTTTGTGTGCGTGGCCGCAATCTCTCATTCAATCATCAAATATGGCGGCGATACGCGCAAGAAGGAATCACCATCCAACAAATCACAGCCACCACCGGTAATTGGTTCAATTTTACTTTGAAATCTATGAGTAGCCGCATGCTGTGAGTAGCTGACCCAAATAATGCAATCTATTATTACGCATCACTGTCTTGTTTTAGCCAACAGCAAAGGCAAAACCAGCGGTACCAGAACCGGAAGAAGACGCCGACCGAGCAGGGTGAGTTAATTTAACGCTCAAACTTGTATTTCTTGTAACTTTGCTTGTCTTCTCCTTTTCATTCCACAATTCTTCTTTTCAGATAGGAGCAATGTCCAGCACATGACACCCGAAGAATTGGTAAGAGTAGTCTTTGGATCAGGAGAGCAGATGCCGTAAGCATAAGCAAAGCGTACCCCTTTTGACTACAAGAAATACAAGTCAGATACACCCAAATGTGACAAACCAAATCAAGTCCGCCACCTCGAACAATCTCCGCTGCACGTGGATCTGTTGTTCCCTGGTAAGCGGCTAGCCCTTCATTTGGGGCAGAATTCTGGTCACTTAGTCAATTAAAATCAATATACATCTTAGATATTTCAGTGGATTTCCTTTCAGCTTAACCACTACAATTAGCGTCTTTTGTATAATAGCATATACTTTATCCATCAAATAAAGTGATCCAATAAATGTCACAGGAGAATAATTGAAAGTTAAGCTTGCAAAATCACAATGTATGCGAAAATTGTGCAATGTCAGAGATCAAAAAGGAGTTTCTACTTCACACGGAAAGACACAGATTCCATATGGACGAATGGCATCATTTTCCTTGACAATCCAGTAATCATCAAGGCCGGTACAACCGTGTTGAGACTTGGGCACAATTTCACGATGAGATGGATCGACACGAGACTGAAAAAAAAAGACTATTTCCAACAAATCAGTTACCTAATGACTATTAAAGTCACAGTATACAAATCTCACCTGAAGGATCAACTTGTACCATTTTCCATTGTGTTTGTAGGGAGATGCATAAGCAAGTGCAGTCTTTGGATCAGGAGTGCAGTAGATACCGTGTCCATACAAGAAACGATGGCCTTTTTTCTGCAAATAATAAACTTAAGCAAATGTATACTCCAAACCAAATCAAGTCCACCACTAGTAACAATTGATGCAGCACGTGGATCCGTCGTTCCATGGTAAGCAACTGGCCATTCGCCATGAATAGAGCCATTCTCAATTGGGCTAAACAAGTAGTTAACAAAATAAAACAGGAAAAATCACCGCTCTCCTCCGAGGTCTCCGAGCCAGGCATTGTCCCCATATTTGTTAAGAACATCGAGAGCATAACGCATTGACCCAAGTGGGCGAATGTAATGAGATCCACCACGAGAGAATGGTTGCTGATCGACCAAAATGTTCGTGAAATCGCGATTAAACTTTTCGGCAAAGAATCCCGGGTGCATTTTGTAAGCGCTGCATCTTCCTTGCCGACGTCCCGGCATCATACGACGAGCAGCACCACGAAAGCGAGCTTTCGTACCTTAAGGATAAAAAGTAAACACTTTGCCAGAAAATTGACTGTACAAACAAACTGGGCATTTAATAGCAGCCCTAACTCAGACGTTTTAAACTTCGAATTGTTTTTACCACAAAACATGTTTGTGTACTTGAAAAATTAATCTTACCCTTTTCAACAGTTTTCTGGATCGTATTCACATTGAAAACGAGATCGCGTGGTTCGACAATCCTTTCAGAATCAGAATCAGAATCAGAATCAGAACCCGAACACGAATACAAATCCGGATCTGAACGGGCGAGATCTCCCATTGTAAAAGTCCCATTGTTGAGATGACGCATGTGACAGTTGATGCCAGCAAGGAGAGCCTCATCTAAACAAAGAAATTTAGTCAATAGCAAAACATGAAATAAGTTTACCATCGATCGAAAGGGACGACATATTGAAACCAGTCACCGATTCCGAGAAGGTAGATCCCTGAAAGAAAATTAGTTGAAATTTCTGTTCGATAGCATTCAAAGCATAAAAAAAACAAGTCTGCTAACAATTCAAAGGGTATATTAAGAATATAATTTTACAACTACTTATCTCACACCAACTAAAAACTTTCTCAAACACTTATTTGGATTGCCACCTCCGTATATTCCAATTACTTAAAGATTAATCGAACAATCGTTAAACCATGAAACAACTGATATTGGATACGCTCCTCGATTTCGAGAAGTGGAGCTAACGAACAAGAAACAAATTATGCGAGCTGTAGTAGGACACAAATCAAGATACAAATGTTAAAAAATACGATTCAAACGTCTTCTAGGAGCTATGCATAACGTGCCAACGTTGACACCGTAGTGTTGCTAAGCAATCCGCGCGAATTTCTCTAGAATGACACAAGGAGCAAGTCAACTTACATAACCCGCGGTGGTCTTCGCTCTTACAACGTATCCTGCAATTTATAGGCTTATAACTGTCCAAAGTGCACTAGAACTATTTTAAAAAGCTATAGCCCGTCCAACTTTATAAGGAAAGCTTCAATAAAATTGTCTAAGGCGAGCCAAAAATGCGAATGCAACAGATAAATTTGAAAACATTGCTGATTTCGGAATTTGGAGAATGAAATGAAAAATGATTCCCCTTCCGACGAAAATTTCCTGTACAACTCAAAATATTCAATTGAACAATTGCTTCCCGATAAAAAGTTGACCGAATTTATACTTGCAAAATCAACTGAATATTCGAAAAAGCTGTCTATTTAAAAAGCCACGTTTTGGAAAACTTTTAAATTTCTTTTGTTGTGGATTTCTCTGTGCAATGTGTCTGTTTCTAACTGTTAAAACTTTCAAATCTTTATTTTCTTTGAAATGTCGTCTTGGGTCGTCAAACGTCGAACAAAAAAAACTATAAAAATTGAAGGTGAACCCGAAGTTATTGACAGACGCAATTATCCAAAAAAGACTAGCACAATTCAAGAGCATATTAAAAACTTACCTGGTAATTCACGGTGAAAGTGTTAGAATTTTCCGGCCATTCAGCGGTCTAAAAATGGTCTCTCAAAACATTTTTTTGAAGTCAAAAACACTTCTTCTGGCATAATTTAATCTATTGATTACGTTTCTGATTAAATTGGAGCAAAATAAAAAGAATTTTTTTCAAATTTCCCCACATGTGTCAAAATCTCAAAAAATATTTTTCAATTTCTTTTGCCTCTACCAATCAATTTAAGTTAGAAAATGAATATTTAGTGGCTAAAAATGATTTTGGCCCTAGCTTTGACCTTGAAAAGTGCCTCAATAATCGATAGCTTGGGCTCCATATAGTTCCATATGGTGAAGTACACTATAGAAGCACGCACTTTGGAGCCTCGAAACTCCGCTAAAAACGCCTTTTCTCAAGCTCTCGTTATGTTCTTCAGAATCTACACATAAAACTACCCCAAATCCCCAAGTAAATTTTATTGATATCTTTATTTAAAGGAGAGTTCAAGCTTTCAAATAATGTATAAGATTTGGTACATTACGAGTGAAATTTGTATGTTATCTGTATATGAAGCATTCAGGTGCCACAATAAAATATCAATAAAATTTACTTGGGAACTTTTTCTTTTCTTTCTAATACTTTTTGTTGCTTTTAATATTGTCTTATTTTTGGGATGGCGATGGACAAACGAATAATTCTCTCCCTCGCGCAAAAGACTCAACTTATCAAGGATAAACGAGGAGGAAAATACATGAATGATGAAATTGAAGCCAAGTACGGATTGAAGAAGAGCGTTTTTTATGCGATTTTGGCACAAAGTGAATCAATATTAGGAAAAGCTTTGACTTCATCGCCAACAATCAAATAAGCAGGTGTAGCGAAGGATGAAACTTTAGAAGAAGCAATTCTATCATGGTTCAAGGCGCAGCGCAGTCGAAATACTCCAATTGGTTTAACAAAATTGGTATGATTGCATCAGCTTAGCGATTAGTTTAAAAAAACACTTCGAGTCAGACAAGCAGCTGAAGAAGACACCCAAGAAATGGGTGAACCTGCCCGAACGAGCCAACAACGTTTCACCTCAACACGTTCACTTTAATTTTTATGAATCTTTTTGCATCTTACTTTTTTGTTACCACAATAATTTTAAGAAAATGGCAAGAGAAAACAAGCTTTCTAACTACGAAAAAGGCCAAATCGACACGCTCCATGGTCTTGATGTGAAACGGTCGTTTTTGATGCTCTATGAGTTTTTCTGGCTTGAATCTGCAAAAATCTTAAGTAATTTGTTGAATCTAGGATTTTTTGATGTGCTCTTTTCAATAAAAAAGATTTCGAACAGTAGCATGCTGCTAGTTTAAGAAATTGCGATTTTCTTGGGTGAACATATTGATGTGAAACGCGGTGTACTTTTGTGTCATAGGTAAGGGAAGTATAATTGATCTTGTAATACCCCGTTCTGTTTCTTTTTAGGTGTTCAAAGACGAAATATTATAGCCGAGCCCATCAAAACAACGCAACCGGTATTCCTATGGCAATAAAAAAGCACGACTACTTGCCAACAGAAAGCAAAAAATAGGTAGATGATCAAGGCATTATTGCTTGTGTAATAAATGCGTTTTTAGATTCGAATTGCGCACGAAAATGTTAAATGTCAAGCATAGATGGGTGCCCCGTCAAAGAAGTTGTACGGCAGACAATAACAAGCAGTTCACCCGACGTAACACGACTGCCCAATGTTTCCGGTGTGCGAAAAATGGTGAGGGGGCAGCGAGCAATTCCCGCCTCAAAAATGTGGCCAAGTCCGATGGATGATTAAATTATGCCAGAAGAAGTGTTTTTGACTTCAAAAAAATGTTTTGAGAGACCATTTTTAGACCGCTGAATGGCCGGAAAATTCTAACACTTTCACCGTGAATCACCAGCTAAGTTTTTAATATGCTCTTGAATTCTGCTAGTCCTTTTTGGATAAGTGCGTCTGTCAATAACTTCGGGCTCACCTTCAATTTTTCTAGCTTTTTTTCCTCGACATTTGACGACCCAAGACGACCTTTCAAAGAAAATAAAGATTTGAAAAAGTTTTAACAGTTAGAAACTGACACATTACACGGTGAAATCCACAACAAAAGAAATTTAAAAGTTTTCCAAAACGTGGCTTTTTAAATAGACAGCTTTTTCGAATATTCAGTTGATTTTGCAAGTATAAATTCGGTCAACTTTTTATCGGGAAGCAATTGTTCAATTGAATATTTTGAGTTGTACAGGAAATTTTCGTCGGAAGGGGAATCATTTGTCATTTCATTCTCCAAATTCCGAAATCAGCAAAGTTTTCAAATTTATGTGTTGCATTAGCATTTTTGGCTTGCCTTAGACAATTTCATTGAAGCTTTCCATATAAATTTCGATGGGCCACGACTTTTTAAAATAGTTCGCACTTTGGACAGTTATAAGCCTATAAATTGAAGGGTACCTTGTAATAGCCAAGACCACCGCCGGTTATGGAAGTTGACTTGCTCCTTGTGTCATTCTAGAGAAATTCGCGCGGATTGCTTAGCAACAGAACGATGTCAACGCTGGCACGTTATGAATAGCTCCTAGATGACGTTTGAATCGTATTTTTTAACTTCCGCTTCTTGATTTGTGTCCTACTGCAGCTCACATGATTTGTTTCTCTTTAGTTAGCTCCACTTCTCGAAATCGAGAAGCGCATCCAATATCAGTTGTTTCATAGTTTAACGATTGTTCGATTAATCTTTAAGTAATTGGAATCTACGGAGGTGGCAATCTATATAAGGGTTTGAAAGAGTTTTTAGGTGGTGTGGAAAAAGTATTTGTACAATTATATTCCAAATTCTTAATATATCCTTTGAATTGTTAGCAGACTTATTTTTTTATGCTTTGAATGCTATCGAACAGAAATTTCAACTAATTTTCTTTCAGTGATCTACCTTCTCGAAATCGGTGACTGGTTCCAATATGTCGTCCCTTCCTCTCAATGGTGAACTGATTTCATGTTTTGTTGACTAAATTTCCTTGTTTAGATAAAGCTCTCCTTGCTGGGATTAACTGGCACATGCATTTTCTCAACAATGGGACTTTCGACTCAGATCTCGGTTGGGATTCAGATCTCGGTTCCGATTTCGATTCGGATTCTGGAAGGACTGTCAAACCACGCGACCTCTTTTTCAATGTGAATACGATTCAGAAAACTGTTGAAAAGGGTAAGTTCAATTTTTTAAGTGCACAAACTTTTTTTTGTGATAAAAACAATTCGAAAGTTAAAACCTCTGAGTTAGGGCTGCTATTAAATACCCGATTGGTTTGTACAGCCAATTTTCTGGCAAAGTGTTGACTTTTTATCCTTAAGATACGAAAGCTTGCTGTCCTGATGCTGCTCGTCGTTTGATGCCGACACGTCGAGAAGGAAGATGCAGCGCTTACAAAATGCACCCGGGATTCTTTGCCGAAAAGTTCCATTACGATTTCACGAAGATTTTGATTGATCAGCAATCATTCTCTCGTGGCGGAGCTCATTACATTCGCCCACTTGGGTCAATGCGTTATGCTCTCGATGTTCTTGACAAATATGGGGACAATGCCTGGCTCGGATACGTAGGGCGGTAATTTTTCTTGTTTTATTTTATTAACTACTGGTTTAGCCAAAGTGCGAACGGCTCTATTGATGGCGAATGGCCAGTTGCTTATCATGGAACAACGGATCCGCGTGCTGCTGAAATTGTTCGTAGTGGTGGACTTGATTTGGTTTGTTATTTTTGCTTTTGAATGTGGGTAATCGTGGATCCTTTGTACAAAATATTCTTCTAGGGGAAAGGAAATCGCTTTACTTTTGGTTATGGCATTTACTGCACACCAGACCCAAAGACTGCGCTCTATTATGCATCTCCTTACGAACATAATGGAAAAAGCTACAAGTTGATCGTTCAGGTGGGATTTGTTACGGACTTTAATAGTCAATAAGTAACTGATTTGTTGGAAAGATTCATTTTGTTTCAGGCTCGTGTCGATCCATCTCATCGTGAAATTGTGCCCAAGTCTCAACACGGTATTGCTGGCCTTGATGATTACTGGATTATCAAGAAAAATGATGCCATTCGTCCATATGGAATCTGTGTCTTTCCGTGTTAGGTAGAAACTCCTTTTTGATCTGTGACATTGCACAATTTTTGCATACGTTATTATTTTGCAAGCTTGACTTTCAATTATTCTACTGTGTCATTCATTGGATCACTTTATTTGGTGGATAAAGTAGATATTATACAAAAGGCGCTAATTGTAGTGGTTAAGCTGAAAGGAAATCCACTGAAATATCTCAGATGTATATTGATTTTAATTAACTAAGTGACCAGAATTCTGCCCCAAATGAATGGCTATTCGCTTACCATGGAACAACAGATCCACGTGCTGAAGAAATTGTTCGAAGTGGTGGACCTGATTTGGTTTGTCACATTTCAGTTTATCTGACTTTTAGGCAAAAGCGGTACACTTTGCTTATGCTTACGGCATCTGCTCTCCTGATCCAGGACTACTCTTGCTTACGCATCGACTTATCACTACGATGGAAGAACCTACAAGTTGATTGGGATCGATCCAGCTCGTCGTGAAATTGTGCCCAGGTCGAAACACGGCTCTGCCGATCTTGATGACTACTGGATCGCCAAAGAGAATGATGCCATTCGTGCTTATGGAATTTGTGTTTTCCTTTGAAAACTTCTAACTGTTTTTTTCGCTTTGCACATCCATCCCAATTTGTTATAACGACAGTTGTTACGGTGCCTTCCATTTTGCACATAAATACCTTCGTCATTCCAGTTACATTCACTAGATAAATCCATTGCGTTAAAGAAGTACACATTGGGATGCTTGATGAATGTTGCTGGATATTTATGAACGCCCTCGAAAAAGTATTTAGGTATAAGTTTACGTTGCAAATACTGTCTCTCGTTTTTAAAACGACTAGGTATGGTTTTTATGGTGTCCTTAACTGAAAAGTTGCATAAATTGAAGTTTTAGACGTTTATTCCCGCAGGACAAATTTATGGCCTTCTTCTCGGCGACCATCTCGTCCACGCGTTGGTCTATTTTTGATTGGCGATCTTGGCCAATTCTTCGGGTGTTATGTCTGGACATTGCTCGTAGCTAAAAAGAAGAATTATTGAATGAAAAAGACAATCGAGTACTAGTTACTTAGTTACTAGAGTTAAAAGTTTAAGACTTTTCTTTCCATTAACAACATTCGAAAAGTTCCCAATAAGGATCTCAAAGTCACAAACTAATTGTAGTATGTAACACAGTAAAAAGAAAGCAATAGGTCATAAGCAATGTCAATAGGGAAAGAGGTTAATTAGTTTTTTTTTAATATTAACCATTATTTTTATTATTTTTAGTTGAGCAACGCTCCAATTCCCGAGCCGATAGGTGTCATCACTGCAGCCGTTTATCTTATTATCATGTTCATCTTCATACCATTCCCATTTCTCGAATGGACATACACAGAGTCAGTTTTTATGATATTCTTAATGGAAAAGTTGTATAAAGCTATATAAATGGAATTTTTAGGCGTTTATTCCCGCACGATAAATTCTTGGCCTTCCTCTCAGCGATCATCTCGATTTGCACAGCAATTTTATTGGGTTTCACCGATGATATGCTTGATTTGAGGTTAGTTTAGAAGATGTAAAACAAGATTTCTCAAATTTTTAGCTCAAATCAACCCCTTTATTCATTAATAAAAAAATTGAGTGGTGACAAAAAAAATAGGCTTGATTTCTTGGCGACATCTCATCTACTCGTTCGTCTATTTTTGATTGGCGATCTTTGCCAATTCTTCGGGTGTCATGTGCTGAACATTGCTCCTATCTAAAAAGAAGAGTTGTTGAATGAAAAGGAGAAGACAAGCAAAGTTACAAGAAATACAAGTTAGAGCGTTAAACTAACTCACCCTGCTCCTTCAGCGTCTCCTTCCAGTTTTGATGCCGCTGGTTTTTCCTTTGCTGCTGGCTAAAATAAAAAAAAAAGTTACGGGTAGTGCATTTTTCATTTTTCGGGTCAGTTGCCCATCGGCATACTGCTACTCATAGATTTCATAGTAAAATTGAATCAATTTCCGGTGGTGACTATGATTTGTTGGGTAGTGGTTCCTTCTTGCCCTTGTCGTCACCACATTTTATTAAATGAGATTGCGGCCACGCACACAAAGATCATCCACATTGACCATGTCCACATTTTGCGACCGTTAAACAGGAAAGATTTGAAAAAGGTCAAAGAAACTAGTGGTATTTAAAATGTTAAATATCCAATGAAACAATAAAGACTAATCTTATAAACAATAAACAAAACAATAAAAACTAAGCCAAGTAAAAAGTTTTCAAATAAGAAAAAAACCAACCTTTGTAGGAATCGTGTGTTAGGAAACAAACTCGGCAAAAGTAGTTAGTCAAATGATTTTTATGGAGAACCATTCTATATTTGTGGTGTTAATTGCTAATTAGGTTGTCAGATAGGTAAATCGATTAACGACGAGCTTGTAAATGTTAACGGCTAATTTCAGTGGGATTTTAAGTAGTTAATGAAATGATTTTTATGGAGAGCGTCGAACCATTTGGTGTGAAATGCAAATTAGGTTGTCAGATATGTAAACCGATTAAAGTTTACTGATTGATGAGCTTGTAAATGCTAAGGGTAGTTTTTTTTGAATACCTTTATGATTACTTGTTCTTTAGATGGCGTCACAAGTTGCTTTTCCCAACACTCTCATCATTACCGGTTTTGATGGTCTACTATGTACAAGGTGATTTGATTCATTCTAAATGATCTTTTAGTTTTAATTCAGGCAGCTCGACTACGATTGTTGTGCCGAAGATTGCTCGTTCCATTGTTTCATTTCTTGGATTTGAGGTAAAGTTTTAACTTTTTATGGTCAACAATATTTTGGTTTAGATGACAACTTCCCTTGACATCAATTTAAGTTATTATTGTTATTGTTATTTGATGCATTGATAGCCACCAGACAGAACATTTCAACTGTTTTCCTTTTAGTGATCCACCTTCTCGAAATCGGTAGCTGTTTTCAATATGCCAACGCTCTCGATTGAAGGTGAACGTATTTAATGCTTTGATATTGACAATTTTTTTTTGTTTAGATGAAGCTCTCCGTGTTGGTATCAACTATCATATGTGTCGCCTCAAAAACAAGCCCTTTGATCCAAATCCAGAAGCCATTGCCGCTGGTATGATTGTCGAACCGCGCGAGCTCTTTTTCGATGTGAGTACAGTTGAAAAAGGTAAGATCTCAATTTTTAAAGTAGTGGTTTTCGGGCATGACCACGTGGTAACGATAAAGTATTTTTCATTTTAGCTGCTGTGTCGAAGAAGTTGGTTCAAGACATTCGCGCAAAGCATCAACCAAATCATATGACTATCTTTGTAGCGAAATTGTCGGGAAAGAGAATCGGACTCGAGCTAAATGATGATTACACTGTGGAAGAGCTGAGTACGCTTATTCAAGACAAGGAAGGAATTCCTTCCGATCAACAGCGTTTCATTTTTGCTGGACAGCAATTGGAGAATGGAAGGACTTTGAGTGAATACAGCGTCAAAAATAAGTCGAGAGGTTCGAGAGGGGGTTGAAAAAATAGTAGTGCGCACTACTATTACAGAGAATACGGTATATACCTTTTTGATGTACTGTAGTGCAAAAGAGACTTGAACTTTACAGCTTCTACATATTTGTATGTTTATTTTTGTTTAGATCACAAAGTTTTCTTTGTGAATCACCTTGCCGAACATTACCCAATAAAGATCAAAAGGTGTTTCAGCGTTTTGTTTTTCTTGTCAAATCGAATTTTCCAAAATTCTGCGAGAAATTCAAAAAATCTAAAGCTTCAGAGACTTCAGAGAACGCCCGTTCGCAACAATCGTTTCAATCGAAACAATCGAAAGCACAGAAATCTTGGGACTGGGAAAGAAAAGGGGAATTGATAAAGGGAAAAGATTGGGGAATTGGGGGAATGGAGAGAGATAAGAAATTGAAAATAATTTTCGAAAAGGCTAACTGGCCTTGTACAGGGGCGTGACCACTGACTCTAAATTTTGAAGCTTTAGATCATTTAATATTTTAAACTTGCTTGTACTCATATTGTTCTTATTTTGATCACTTTTGAACAACCTTTTTGAATTGAATAACTTTTTTACACATTTATAGAAAATTTACTTTATTGAGTTCTATTTGACTTGCAATTTTTCAAGCATTGATAACAAAATGAGACTCTTTCGCAAAAAGAAATAATGGTCATAGTCTGTGTCGTGGAAACCGTGGAAAAGGGGCCACAATTTTAGAATCAGAATCTTTTGCATTTGGTGCTCTGCTTGCCTGGTACTTGGCATAGTCTTTTTGAAATTCTGATATGAAAGCAATTTCAACACCTCACCCGCTTTGCCACTTATCGATTTTCCTGTCGTTTCATGATTTTGTGTTTTAAAGCTTTTGGGCAACCAAACTTCATTTAACAATGGAGAATGACATTTTCGTAAAGTTGAAGGCGCTCAAAAATAGCCATCATACAGAGATTTCAACTGTTTTCCTTTCAGTGATCCACCTCCTTGAAATCAGTAGCTGTTTTCAATATGCCAAAGCTCTCGATTGAAGGTGAACTTATTTAATGTTTTGATATTGACAATTTTTTTGTTTAGATGAAGCTCTCCGTGTTGGTATCAACTATCATATGTGTCGCCTCAAAAACGAGCCCTTTGATCCAGATCCAGAAGCCATTGCCGATGGTATGATTGTCCAACCACGCGAGCTCTTTTTCGATGTGAATACAGTTAAAAAAGGTAAGATCTCAATTTTTAAAGTACTGGTTCTCGGGCATGACCACGTCGTAACGATAAAGTATTTTTCATTTTAGCTGCTGTGTCGAAGAAGTTGGTTCAAGACATTCGCGCAAAGCATCAACCAAATAATATGACTATCTTTGTAGCGACATTGACGGGAAAGACAATCACTATCATGCTAAATGGTGATTACACCGTCGAAGAGCTGCGTACGCTTATTCAAGACAAGGAAGGAATTACTCCCGATCAACAACGTCTCATTTTTGCTGGACAGCAATTGGAGGATGGAAGGACTTTGAGTGAATACAATATCCAAAATGGATCTATTATTGATTTGGTGCTGAGACTTCGAGGAGGAGGAGGAGGAGGATGTACCGCTTATCAAATGAACAAGGAATGCTTTGCTGAAACGTTCAATTACGATTTCACGAAGCTTTTGATCGATCAGCAACCATTCTCTCGTGGTGGAGCTCTTTACACTCGTCCACTTGGATCAAAGCGTTATGCTCTCGCTGTTCTTGACAAATATGGGGACAATGTCTGGCTCGGAAAGGTTGCGCGGTAATTTTTCTTGTTTTATTTTGTTAACTACAGGTTTAGCCCAATTGAGTGCGGCTCTATTCATGGCGAATGGCCAGTTGCTTATCATGGAACGACGGATCCGCGTGCTGCTGAAATTGTTCGTAGTGGTGGACTTGATTTGGTTTGTTATTTTGGCTTTTGAATAAATAGTGGGGAATCGTGGATCCTTTTTACAAAATATTCTTCTAGGGGAAAGGAAATCGCTTTGTTTTTGGTTATGGTATCTACTGCACACCAGACCCAAAGACTGCACTTGCTTATGCATCTCCTTACGAACACAATGGAAAAACCTACAAGTTGATTGTTCAGGTGAGATTTGTTACATACTTCTTAATCGTACACATACAAACGATACAGAACAACTCAAACTTATTCCTTGGAAATACTCTATTAATTTTGTTTCAGGCTCGTGTCGATCCATCTCGTCGTGAAATTGTGCCCAAGTCGAAACACGGTGTTGCCGATCTTGATGACTACTGGATTGTCAAGGAGAATGACGCCATTCGTCCATACGGAATTTGTGTCTTTCCTTGCTAGACTTGCACGTTGATTATTTTTCATTTGTTAAGTTTCACTTTGTTACCGTATTCTCTCTAATAGAGGTGCACTCTTTAATAGTAGTGCACTCTCTAATAGTATTGCGGTCCAGGAGGGGGTTCAAAAAATAGTAGTGCACCCCCGAAAATTTGAATTTCTGTTTGCTTCTTTTTCATCTAAACCTTTTTGACTTTATGTTTATGTGACATTCTAAAGCTATTCAAGCAAGCAAAAGTGAGGCTTTTTTTATTCATTTATTAACTATTCTTCACATGAAAAAGTTAGCAAAAAATCTAAAATTGTTGTGCAAAGTGCAAAAACATCTTTTTGTTGTTTCCACACATTGTTTTAGTGGCACATTAACTCAAATTTGCTTACGAGGTTCGCGCAAAGCTATAGCTTTTGCTCTTATATACAGTGCCGGACAAAAGTTTAAGAACATGACCTCAAGTTATGGAAAAAGCTCAATATCTTTTAGAAGGTGAAGAATTTCATTTAGGCCTGTAAAGCATTCCTGTAAAGCATTTTTGTTTGTCTCAATTTCAGGAATTAACCACATTCTATAACAGGTTACAAATCTAAATACAAAAAAAGTCTTTGAGACTTTACAGGAAAGAGCCGGTATTCTAGCCGGACAAAAGTTTAAGAACAAGTACTGTTTAACAAAGTTTATTAAAAAAAATAACAATTAAAGCAACAAAAGCTATTAACAAGTTCAATACTTAGTCGGAGCACCATTGGCTTTGATCACTGCTTGACAACGACGCGGCATACTTTCGATCAACTTCTCAATGAAACTTTTTGGGATCTTGTTCCATTCTTGTTGAATAGCCTCAAAAAGAAGATCGCTGGTCGCAAATTTTTTACCTTTTAGTCCACGCTCAACTTGACTCCACATGTTTTCAATCGGATTAAGATCTGGAGATTAAGCTGGCCACTCTAAAAGATCAACATGATTATCGGCAAACCATTTCTTGATGATCCTCGCTGCATGTTTTGGGCTGCATGTGGAAGCCTGACTCTCTCAATGATGTCACGGTATTGAAATTGGTCCATTATTCCCTGAACACGCTCCAAAGGTCCATGACAGTCAAATGAAAAACATCCCCACACCATGACATTGCCACCTCCATGCTTAACCGTACCAACAGCGTATCGTGGGTCATTTCGGGTGTTCGGCGGGCGACGAACATGTTTGATTCTGTCCGTATTGCTCATGTTGAACTTGGATTCATCTGACCAAAGCACGTTCTTCCATTCGGCAACCGTCCAATCCTGGTGTGTTTTAGCAAAATTCAGTCTGGCTTTCTTATTTTTGGCAGAGACGAACGGTTTATGAGCAGCAATTCGACCAAAGAGTTGACTTTCGTTCGAACGTCTTTATATTGTTCTCTGATGAACATTCGACGCTCCAACAGCTTCACGAATCTCAGGAGCAGTCAAAAACGGGTTCTTCTTGGAAGCTAGTGTGCTGCGTCGATTCATCCTGAGCAATATTTTGCACATTTAAAAACGAAATCTCAAAAAAACTTACGTGTCACTGGTTTTTCGAGGTCTTCCCATCTTCTTTTTCGGCTTCGGGTTCTTCCTACGTTGATAAGCTTGCCAAACAGAGTGCCTTTTTCGTCCTATTGCCGTAGCGATCTCTTCAAAGGTCTTGCTTTGAAGATCCCTCATTCGGACAATGGTATTCACATCAGAAGGTGAGATTCGTTGAGTTTTGGCCATTTTTTCTAAAAAGTAACATAAAAATGCCAAAAAAAATCAATGAAAAATGAAATATTGCATTAAAACAATGTTTGTTCTTAAACTTTTGTCCGGCTAGAATACCGGCTCTTTCCTGTAAAGTCTCAAAGACTTTTTTTGTATTTAGATTTGTGACCTGTTATAGAATGTGGTTAATTCCTGAAATTGAGACAAACAAAAATGCTTTACAGGAATGCTTTACAGACCTAAATGAAATTCTTCACCTTCTAAAAGATATTGAGCTTTTTCCATAACTTGAGGTCATGTTCTTAAACTTTTGTCCGGCACTGTACCTGTATAAAGTTTGAGAATTGACTTACCTTTTGCGACGCTAAGCTTTATTGTTATCAAAACTCAATCCTAGAAAATAATCCATCATGTTCGATTTTAATATTATATAATTTTTGTTGGTCACCTTTACTATTGTCTAAATAATCTTTTTCTTTAAGTATGGATCTCGATGGGAACTCGCTTGATGAATTCGAAAATTTTCGAGTTTGTCGTGAACATGAGGAACATGTGGAATTCTTCAAGAGGATTGACAATCAAGTGGCCGAGCAAAATGCCGGCTACAAACCAACGATGTTGCTGAGAAGTCTTTGTGTGACTCGGATGCACCATCCGCGAAAATTCGCGATGTTTCGTCATTCAAACAAAGCTGAAAGCTATTGATTTTGCTGAAAAAGTAAAGGCTGCAGCGCGAAAATTTGGATTCAGTCGTCAAAATATTCCAAAAATGGTGTGAGCAAAAGGAAGAACTCGAGGAACAAAACAGAGATATCGGAAAAGGAAAAAAACGAATCAAAGGCGGTGGACGAACGGATGTCGATTTTGACAAGGATCTTGTTGCTTGGATTCAAGAAATGCGGGCAAAGAAGATGCGAGTGATACGAAAAATGATTCAACGTCAAGCCAAGTTAATGTAGAAAGGTGACGAGGAATTTTCGGCATTAGAGGGATGGCTAAATTTGTTCATGTCAAGACACAAATTGTCAACTCGCCGGCCCACAACTGTATGTCAAAAGGAGCCAAAGGAGTACGTGAAAGAGTTGCAAGAATTTTTGGAATAAAGTTTATATCTGTCTTACTTCGGTAAATGATAAAACTCTTTAATAGTACTGCACTCTCTAATAGTATTGCAGTCCAGGAGGGGGTTCAAAAAATAGTAGTGCGCACTACTATTAGAGAGAATACGGTATTCTCTTTTCCGTGTACATACTTATCATTGGATTGCACACTGATTCTCTCTCATTTGTTAATTTTCATTTTGTTATTCTCTTCTGCATGTACATCTTTTTACAGCTTTTGAAATTGCGGACAATGAGAAAAACTCAAGCTTTATAAGCGTTTTTCGCCTCAATACAAAAGGGAAGTAGCAGCCGTTTAGCTGAGTATCATTACCGTAGTCAGCAAAATTCATTGTCATTTTCACTTCATAATTTCATATTGTTGCTCGCATGGTGCTTGTTATTTTCGTTAAGGGTACGATAGAGAGTCCATCAAAGTTTGAGAGGTGTTTGAAAAGGCTACAGATTGAACAGATCTCGCTTAAACTTTGCAAAAATGCAAACTGGAGTACAACTTAGAGTTTATGAAGGTTTAATTCTTTAAAGGATCAAATTTTAGTTAACCAGTATGGTAATGGAAAGTTTAAGGCAGTATTTTGAGCTACAGAATGAACAGATCTTGCTTAAACTTTAACAATCTGTAAGTTGGAGTGCATCTTGTAGAGTTTAAGGGAGAATATGTTGAATGGTAATGTTTAAGCCAAAGGCTATGGTAATTGATCCATGAAACGAGCTGAAGAAAGAAATAAGAGAAACAGAGAAATGCGAATTTGCTGAAAAAATGAAATTTTCCAAGCTGAAGCGCACACTCAATGAAACTGAACTTAAATATTCAAAAGACTTCATAAAAGATTTTAGACGTTTCAACAATTGGATGAGTCTTAAAGAAGTACTGTAGCTGTTCAGTCGTGACTGAACAGTAGTGTAACAGCAGGCATAGAGTAGTGCGACTAGTCGCACTACTGTATTTTGTTCCAAAACGGTTCCAATACGGTTCCTATTTTGATCTGATACGGTTCCAATACGGGTCCAATACGGTTTCTTTTAAGGTTCCAACACGGTTCCATTACGGTTCCTTTTAAGGTTCCAATACGGTTCCCATATGGTTCCAATACGGTTCCAACACGGTTCCAATACGGTTCCTTTTAAGGTTCCAATACGGTTCCAAAACGGTTCCTTTTAAGGTTACAATATGGTTCCAAGACGGTTCCAATACGGTTCCTATTTTGATCTAATACGGTTCCATACGGTTCCAATACGGTTCCTATTTTGATCCAATACGATTTCAATACTCCAATACACCTGGGGAACTCCTTCTCCACTTTTTATTTTATTTTGGAATAACTTTTCCGATCGTAAAATCTTTAAGCAAGAGAAAAGATAAGGATTTTGATTCCAAAAATAGGAATCGAGGCGCTTTTTCTTGCAAGATAAAAAATGTGAAAGAAGCAAAAAAGGAGTCATTGGCTTTTCAGCTCTCATTTAGGCATTGACAGTTTGGCATTCTTCTAGTTCTCTTCAAAAGGCTTTCAATTTCAATTTCAATTTTAAACTGAACATTTCTCATACTAAAACTGTTGTAAAAAGGTATTCGTACAATTGCTTTCTTAATTTTCTTTTTTAACAAAGATTTTTTTCTTTTCTTTTTCTTTTTCTGATTTGATGCATTAATAGCCATCAGAACATTTTAACTGTTCTCCTTTCAGTGATATACCTTCTTGAAATCAGTAGCTGTTTTCAATATGCCAAAGCTCTCGATTGAAGGTGAACTTATTTAATGTTTTGATATTGACAATTTTTTTGTTTAGATGAGGCTCTCCGTGTTGGTATCAACTATCATATGTGTCGCCTCAAAAACGAGCCCTTTGATCCAGATCCAGAAGCCATTGCCGATTTTATGATTGTCCAACCACGCGAGCTCTTTTTCGATGTGAATACAATTAAAAAAGGTAAGATCTCAATTTTTAAAGTACTGGTTCTCGGGCATGACCACGTCGTAACGATAAAGTATTTTTCATTTTAGCTGCTGTGTCGAAGATGTCGGTCCAAGAGATTCGCGCAAAGCATAAACCAAGTAATATAGCTATTTTTGTAAAGACATTGACGGGAAAGACAATCACTCTCGAGCTAAATGGTGATTACACTGCCGAAGAGCTGAAGATGCTTATTCAAGACAGGGAAGAAATTCCTCCTGATCAACAACGTCTCATTTTTGCTGGACAGCAATTGGAAGATGAAAAGACTTTGAGTGAATACAATGTCAAAAAAGAATCTACTATTCATTTGGTGCTGAGACTTCGAGGAGGAGGATGTACCGCTTATCAAATGAACAAGGAATGCTTTGCTGCAGAGTTCAATTACGATTTCACGAAGATTTTGATCGACCAGCAACCATTCTCTCGTGGTGGAGCTCTCTACACTCGTCCACTTGGATCAATGCGTTATGCTCTCGCTGTTCTTGACAAATATGGGGACAATGTTTGGCTTGGAACTCTTCGGTAATTTTTCTCCTGTTTTATTTTGTTAACTACAGCTTTAGCCAAAGTGCGAACAGCTCTATTGATGGCGAATGGTCAGTTGCTTATCATGGAACAACGGATCCGCGTGCTGCTGAAATTGTTCGTAGCGGTGGACTTGATTTGGTTTGAAGTATACATTTGCTTAAGTTCATTATTTGCAGAAAGAGGGCAAACGTTTCCTGTTTGGACATGGTATCTACTGCACACCAGACCCAAAGACTGCACTCGCTTATGCATCGACTTATCACTACGATGGAAAAACCTACAAGTTGATTGTTCAGGTGGGATTTGTTACATACTTCTTAGTCGTACACATACAAACGATAAATAACAACTCAAAATTATTTCTTAGAAATACTTTATTAGTTTTGTTTCAGGCTCGTGTCGATCCATCTCGTCGTGAAATTGTGCCCAAGTCGAAACACGGTGTTGCCAATCTTGATGATTACTGGATTGCCAAGGAAAATGACGCCATTCGTCCATACGGAATTTGTGTCTTTCCTTGCTAGACTTGCACGTTGATTATTTTTCATTTGTTAAGTTTCACTTTGTTATTCTCTTTTCCGTGTACATATTATTGGAACCATATTGGAACCGTATCCGAACCATACTGGAACCATATTGGAACAATATTGGAACCATATTGGAACCATATTGGAACTATATTGGAACCATATTGGAACCATATTGGAACCATATTGGAACCTTATTGGAACCATATTGGAACCATATTGGAACTATATTGGAACCATATTGGAACCATACTGGAAGTATATTGGAACCATATTGGAACCGTCTACGAACTATATTGGAACCTTATTGGAACCATATTGGAACTATATTGGAACCATATTGGAACTATATTGGAACCTTATTGGAACCGTCTACGAACCATATTGGAACCATATTGGAACCGTATCCGAACCATATTGGAACCTTAGTGTGTGTGTGCAATTCAATGATAACATTGAATTGCACACTGATTCTCTCTCATTTGTTAATTTTCATTTTGTTATTCTCTTCTGCATGTACATACTTATCACCCTTTTTACTGTTATCGGATTCGTTATTCTCATCTTGCACATATATAACGTTTTGTTACATCCGTAAGTAAAGTGTTTTAAAAGTTAGTGATTGCACTAGTTAAACGTTTGACTGTTAGCGAGCTATCTCGACGAATTGGTCCGACATTTCATGAAACTTGAAGTAAATTTATACTACGGCAATCGAAATGGGTATTTGTGTTGAAATCTTTGGTAAAAACGTTGCTTACTATTAGCTATTGGGAAATTTGCCGTCACCAATTTCCACATTCTTTTTACAGCTTTTGAAATTGCGGATAATAAGAAAAACTCAAGCTTTATAAGCGTTTTTCGCCTCAATACAAAAGGGAAGTAGCAGCCGTTAGCAGCGCAGCTGAGTATCATTACCGTAGTCAGCAAAATTCATTGTCATTTTCACTTCATAATTTCATATTGTTGCTCACATGGTGCTTGTTATTTTCGTTAAGGGTACGATAGAGAGTCCATCAAAGTTTGAGAGGTGTTTGAAAAGGGTACAGGACGAACAGATCTTGCTTAAACTTTGCAAAAATGCAAACTGGAATGCAACTTAGAGCTTATGAAGGTTTAATTCCTTAAGGGATTAAATTTTAGTTAAGGAGTACGGCTTGATTTTCAGTCTTGCGTCAAGCGGCCGACTGCGAACGGGCGTTCCACATGTTGAATGTAGAAATAAAATATTTTTAGAAAGTTTCAAGATCTTTTGCAATTCATTGAAGCAAAATGGCTTGAAAGCGAATGAAATTTTTATCTTTAGAAAACTTTAAAAATGCATTTGTATATTAAAATTACAGATCAAGATATCCGTAAATCCAAGTGCGATCATTGGAAAGCTTGCTGAAAAGTTTGGACTTGTTAAAAACAAGCAGCAGACGAAATAAAATTGGTTGGCGTTTTATGGGGAATGCCGAATCGAATTCTTTGTGAATTCGAATTCTAAACAATGCCAAATCGAATTCTTTGTTAACCGATGAAGATTTTTACGAAGATGAGAGCGATAAGAAGGATTTGGCTTGAGAGAAATGAATAAATTGGAAGGTTTTCCAATCAAAGCTGCAGCGATTACCTACAGCAATTTCTTTTTTGTCCGAAAAGCGGATCGAGGGGTACAGTAGAAAGGTTGAGGGTACACCAATCGATGTCGGCCGATAAGCCAACATAGATATGCTCCACCAACACACAAAACGCTTTACCTTTAGGCTTCTAGCAGACGGCACAAATGCGTCTCTAAAACAAAAAGGATAGAACTTGCGTTTTTCATCATAAATATGAATTAAAAATGTGATTTCCGGGATCAGCGCAATCGATTACTCTAGAAAAAGAAAAATTTTATTAGGGTTGTCTATAAGTTCATGCAGTTCTTAAATTTGTAATTTCTTACGAAAAAAAACCAGCCAACAGTTTCATTTGAAATTTCTACTGAATAATCTATAAGTATATGCTAACCAGTAGCTTGGTTCAATCGAGAGAGTGAGACATGACTGTTCAACTAAGTCACCTTATTGAAGTTATAGAGATCAACAAAGTTGGGATGAATGGTAATAAAAAGTAGATTGATAACCAATTGTACCAACATTTGATCGAATCTTGAAGGCGATATAGCTAAATAAGTGATTGTAACTTATTGAGACACACCAACAAACCTGTATGACATTGTATAAAGTGATTGATGAAGCAATGACGAGACTTTGACCAGCTTAAATGAAAATGAGTTCTTTGTACGTAATCGCTTAACCTCCAATCCTTTATTCCCGCGTAAATATTGATTGAATTTGTGCAGAAGACGATCACCATTCCCATGAAAACGTAGTAGAGCAAATTATTATAAAGAGAAGTTGTCATCTAAACCAAAATATTGCTGATCCTAAAACATTAAAACTTTACCTCAAATCCCAGCAACGAAATAAAGTAACGAGCAATCCCCGATACAACAATCGTCGTTGAGCTGTATAAAAATGAAAAAAAGGTTATTTAAAATAGAGCAAATAACCTTATACATAGTAAACCATCAAAACCGACAAAGAGAGCGACGATCAATTGTGATTGACAACCAATTGTGCCAACATTCGATCAGATCTTCGAGGTGGTATAACTAAATAAATTTTTGAAACCATCGACAAACCTGTATGACATTGTATAAAGTGATTGATGAAGCAATGACGAGACTTTGACCAACCTAAATGAAAATGAGTATGAAATTTCAGGTAAACATCAACCTCCAATTCGTTGATTCCCGCGTAAATATTGATGACACTTGCGCCAAAAACAATCACCATTCCCATGAAAACGTAGTAGAGCAAATTGATATCAAGAGTTGTTATCTAAACCAAAATATTGCTGACCATAAAAAGTTAAAACTTTACCTCAAATCCCAGCAACGAGAGATAAAGTAACGAGCAATCTCCGGCCCAACAGTCGTCGTTGGGCTGCCTGAATTAAAACTAAAAGATCATTTAGAATGAATCAAATCACCTTGTACATAGTAGACCATCAAAACCGGCAATGATGAGAGCGTCGGGAAAAGCAACTTGTGACGCCATCTAAACAAGTAACAAGTAATCATAAAGGTATTCAAAAAACTACCCTTCGCATTTAAAAGCTCATCAATCACTAAACTTTAATCGGTTTCCATATCTAACAACCTAATTTACATTTCACACCAAATGGTTCGATGCTCTCCATAAAAATCACAATTTGCTGATCAAAAGAAATCTAGAATTTGAGCCCATTTCATAACTTTATTTCGCCATTCATGGTCCAAGGTGAGCAGGGTCAAACAATGTGCGGAGTCAGCGTCGATATGGATTATATGCTATAAAGTTTTGCTTGTTTATCAGATTTAAATAAATGCCTTGAGAAGAAATAAAAACATGGAGACACCGAAAAATAAACAAAAAATGATAATCAAAGAAGATGACAAGAGTTGCAAACGAGATCACGAATTTGGAGTTGAATGAAATATATTTTAGATTTTAAAACATAAATGCAAAGATAAGTGACACCTTTACAGTTGTGATGAATGGTAACAAAAAGTAGCTTGACAACCAATTGTGCCAACATTCGAACAGATCTTTGAGGTGGTATAACTAAATAAATATTCCTGAACAATCAAAACCCTTCGACAAACCTGTATGACATTGTATACAGTGATTGATGATGTAACTTTGCTTGTCTTCTCCTTTTTATTCAACAATTCTTCTTTTTAGATAGGAGCAATGTCCAGCAGATGACACCCGAAGAATTGGCCAAGATCGCCAATCAAAACTCGATGAACGCGTGGACGAGATGGTCGCCGAGAGGAAGGCCAAAAATTTGTCGTGCGGGAATAAACGTCTAAAAATTCAATTTATACAATTTTACACAACGTTTCCGTTAAGGACATCATAAAAACCATACCTAGTCGTTTTAAAAACGAGACAGTATTTGCAACGTAAACTTGATACCTAAATACTTTTTCGGAGGCGTTCATAAATATCCAGCAATATTCATCAAGTATCCCAATGTGTACTTCTTTAACGCAATGGATTTATCTAGTGAATGTAACTGAAATGAGGAAGGTATTTATGTGCAAAATGGAAGGCACCGTAACAAATTTGGATGTACAGTAGGGGTCATAACTTTGGACACACCTCGCGCGTCAAACTAGAATTTGTTCGTTCTTTTTGCTAATAAGAGCTTTTTCTACCGAAATCGACTATTTTATACAGTTTTTATCCCTTTTCATTATTTCTGCATGAATTTGGCTTTTATTTTCATTCTCATTTACTTTTGAGCTACTTTACCCGAGACACCCACTTTCTAGGGGGTCATAACTTTGGACACACTTGTTGAATACATGGTTTTCTTTAGATGCCATCAAATAAAATCTTGTCTGACGACTTGAAGGAACGTTTGGTAGCCAATATGAGTCAAGGAATGTCGTCTAGGAATGCTGCTGAGATGTTTGGAATCACATTTTCGGCGGCTGCTAAGGTCTACCGCAAATGGAAAGAAACAGGATCGATAGAACGGAAAATTGGTGGAGGACCACGACCAAAAGTTTCCCTAAGAACTGCCACTGCTTTGGATCAGTGAAGAAAGATCCGAGAAAGACGTCAAGCGATCTTCACCATGGCCTCACCATCTCTAAGAGTACAGCTCAACGAATTCTGAGGTTTATTTTGATGTAATAATGCATTTATATAAAAATTTTAGATCTACGGAACTTAAAGGAGCACGCTCTTCACGAAAACCGCTGATTTCAAGGAAGAAACTTAAAGCTCGTTTCGAATTTGCGAGGAAACATCAGAACTGGTCGGTGGCGGATTGGCGTCGCGTCTTATGGAGTGATGAATCCAGATTTAACTTGTTTTCAAGCGATGGAATTCGTTATATCCGACGTTCAGCAAATAAGAGAAACTATTCAAATTATCAAGTGCCCACAATCAAGCCCGGTGGTGGTTCGG